TCCAGGCAGCACAACTCTGTCTTTGTTTTCCTAAGTCCTCGGGAAATCCCGCTGGCCCCAGCACTGGTGATCTGCACAGAATCTGAGAGACAAGGACTCCTGGGGTTTCCTGTCCGTGAGATCTGTTTTGGCTGGGAGGGGTGGTTTCCCAGGTTTGAACCCGGGGGCCCTTAACCACTGAGCCACACCCCCAGCCTCCTTGGGGTTTTATGAGAGACAGGCTCTTGCTGAGTTGCTGAGGGTGGTTTTGAACTTGCGGTCCTCCTGTCTCAGCCTCCTGAGCCTCTGGAGTCACAGGCCACTGTGATAAGATCTCTGGAGGACCGCTGGACAAAGCCCAGGGAGGCTCGGGCGGAGGGCGAGAATGGTTTCTGTCACTGCGTTGAGTGGAGCCCCAGGACCAGGGGTAGTGGCAGGAACCCCAATGGCGTTGGGTGCACAGAGTCCCCACGGGAGCAGGTGCCCTGTGGACAGGTCCGCTCTGGCCAAGGAAAGGCAGGGACGTCCCCAACAGGGGCCATCTGCCAGCGGCACAGAGCAGGACACCTCTAAAGTCGAGGCTGACGGTCAAGTGCTGGGGATCCCTTTAAAACTGAGTAGAGGAGGAGCACTGGGCCCCTCCAGCTGCAGGACACGGCCCACGGGGGGACGAGATCCGGAGCAGGCAGTGCCAGGCCTCTCTGGGCTGGGGGCTCTGAACTCCTCCGAGGGAGGTCTGGGCTGGGGCTCTTTGGGGATGGAGCAGGAGGCCGTCATGGGGTGTCTCTGCTGTTCCCCTCGTGGGCTCCCCTTCCCTTCCTGTGGCTCAGGAGAGAGGTGACCGAGAGATGGCCTGGAGCACACCAGGTGGAGGTGGGCAGGTAGCGCCTGGGGAGCTCCGGGGACATGGTCGGCAGCGCCCACCGGGAGACGCAGGGCCCACCGGAGCAGAGGAGTGACGAGGACGGGGACGGGGAGGAAGAGACCCCTTGGCCCTCCCTGGGCCTCTTTCTCCCGGCCTCCCCCAGTCCTCCCGTGGCTGAGGGTCACACCGAGAGGTCATCTGACCTGGCCTTGCTGCTGGCCTTGCTGAGACGGCGCTTGTCACCATGGTCGCTGTGTGGGAGGCGGTGACCCGTGGAGACCCCGTCGGGCACCTGGGGCTTCTGGCCATACCGGATCTGGATGAAACCCTCCCTGGGGTCTGGCTGCTGGCCTGGCGCTGGGGGCGCGGCCAGGCAGCCGGGGTTCTGCGGGGGACCGTGCTGTCCCCGAAGGGACGGAAGAACTTGGCCCCGGGGCCGTCCCTCAGGCACTGGCTGAAGTCGGGCGGAGGCGTGCAGCTCTGGGCCGCAGCCCCGGAGGGACCCGGGAGCCGGCGCTCGGGCAGGCGCGGCCCGGGCTTGCCCCACGCGTGCCTCATCTTCCTCCAGCCCAGGTGGTAGAGCTCGGCCAGGCTGAGGAGCAGGGACAGCGCGGCCACGGCCAGCATGAAGACGATGAAGACGTTCTTCTCCGTGGGCCGGGACACGTAGCAGTTGACCGGGTGGGGGCAGGGGCTGCGGCGGCAGACGTGCAGGGTGCTCAGGAAGACCCCGTAGAGCAGGTACTGGCCCACGATGAAGGCCACCTCCATGGTGGTGCGGATCAGGATGGTGCAGACATAGGTGTGCAGCAGGGTGCCCTGCAGCATCACCCGCCCGTTCATCTCCTCCCAGCAGGACAGCTGGGCCTTCTCGGCCGCGGGGTGGCCCTCTCTGGCCCCCTCGGCCTCCCGGAGCCTCCGCTTCTCCTCGGTGCGCACGTGGTGCATGGCGTGGCCCATGTACACCAGGGACGGCGTGGACACGAAGATGATCTGCAGCACCCAGTAGCGGATGTGCGAGATGGGGAAGGCCTGGTCGTAGCACACGTTCCCGCAGCCCGGCTGCATGGTGTCGCACACGAAGTCGGCCTGCTCGTCGCCCCAGGAGGACTCGGCCGCCGTGCCCAGCACCAGCATGCGGAAGATGAAGAGCACCGTGAGCCAGACCTTGCCGATGACCGTCGAGTGCTTGTGCACCTCCTCCAGGAACTCGCCCAGGAAGCTCCAGTCGCCCATGCTGGCAGGGAAGGGGACGGGTGCCCGGCTCTGCAAACAGGGGGAGAGAGGGGGGGAGAGAGAGGGAGAGAGAGAGGGAGAGAGAGAGGGAGAGAGAGAGGGAGAGAGAGAGGGAGAGAGAGAAGGGGGTTTCTGCAAAGGTCGGCCAGGTCCATCATGCTCTGGACCTTGATCCGCACCAACGTAGAATCAAGTGTCCTCTACCCCCAGCCCCCAGCCAAAACGAAGAGAGGGGACTGGGCTTCCACACTTGGAAGGGTCTAGATGTCAGCTGAGGTGTGAGTTCCAGCTGGAACCTGGATTTGCCACAAGCAGCCCAGGTGATTCTGGGGCAGACGGCCCACAGACCACACCAGACAAACACTGGAGAGAGAAACTCAGAGCTGGAGTTTGCAGGAACCGCGACTCACACGTACTTCAGGGAATCCGCTTCCTTATCTGTCGATGGGGATGGAAATAAGGGACGAGAGGATGTGGAGATCAAGGGAGATGAAGGGTCTGATGTGCTGAGAACTCTGGGGTGAACGTCCGTGGGTTGGGATGATTGACAGAAAGGGAATCTTTAAGGGTTCGGGAGGCGTAGATGGGAGAGAGGAATGAGGTTGGCAGATTGGGCTTCTCGGGAAGCACTCTGGAATGACAGGGGACAGCCGTGTTGAGAGGGAGGAACGGCACGTCTCAGTGGTGTTAGGGAGGAGCGCTCAGCTCCGCGGCTGCTGGCCGCCTGGCCCTGCAGGTCCACCTGGGGGACTTGCTGAGTGCTGGGCTCCTTGGTCCCGCTGGCCGGTCCTGACGGACTCAGCAGCGTCTCCTGTCAACTGTGACTTCCTGGCCCTCTCCTCTAGCTGGTGACTCTTACCTCCCAAGCTCTCACCCATTCCGGGATGGCTGGCACCCTTCCTGCTCACACTGCGGGGACACGGGACAGTCACCCCCCACACACACACCTTTTATAACCTCTCCCGTCTGGGCTCTTCCAGCAGAGGCGTTTTGAAACCAGGGACTTTCCTCTGTATCTCCAGAGCGTGGCCCAGAGCGGACGTGCAGGAAGCCTGGCTGGGTGAGGAAAGAGCCATGAGCCCCCGTGTTCCTGACTGTAAGAGGCCAGCCCGGTCCCTGCCGCGTCCCACTAGAGGAGGCAACCCCAGACGCGCTCCCGCGGGACGAGGGCGCCCCGTGGGGACAGAGTGCTCTGGAAGGCTTCTCTGTCCCCCGGTGAGTGAGGCGCCTGGCCACAGTTCTTCCCTCTCCTCTGCTCCCTGCCCAGGGACAGGGCTGTGGGGGCCAAAGGTCTGAGGTGCCCACGGAATTCCAGAAAGGCTGGCCGACGCCCCGAGGCACACGCCAGAGTCGACAGGACCCTGGGTGGCCAGGGTCACATTTTGACCTCCACGTCTTGATGCCAACTCTGGTTCCTTTTGGAACGTGCCTGATGCCGTGGGGAAGGCAGGGTGGGTGCTGCCTCTCACCGTCCACATCCACTGACTCCCGAGGTCAGGCCTCGCCAGAGACAGTCTCCGGTTCTGACTCCTCCCAGCCCCGGGTCCCCAACCCTGAGAGCAGGGGGGGTCCCTGAGTGAGTGGAAAGTCTTCTCCTTGTTCCTCTCCATATCAGAGGCTCACCCAGGGCTTGAGGCCCTCCCCTGGCTGGTCACTGAACATCTGCCCTTTACTTCAGGTGGAGAAGGGCCCGTCCCGGGCCTCCCAACGTGGAGAATGTGGAGCTTGCGCTCAGAAGGAAACGGGCTGATAAGACAAGCGTCTGAATGCTCTGCCACCCCTCCTGGGCACGCGGACGCGTCCAGCACCTTCAGGGTCAGCCACGTACCGCATCCAGCACCTTCAGGGTCAGCCCCAGACGGGCAGTGGCTGGCGTAGGGTGCGAGAGAGCCAAGAAGGAAGGAGACGGAGGGACAGAATTGAAGGAGAGCAGAGGATCAGAAACGGGGAATGATGGGGAGTTCCTAAGGGAGGAGAAGTAACCTGACGATGGTTAGGAGAAGACAGGCACGGAAATCAGAGTTCAGATCCCTGCCACTGTGCAGCCTGTGTTTCCTCGTCCGCCGGGTGGACAGCACTCAGGCCACAGGGCAGGTGGACCATGAACAGAAAGCTCAGCCTGGGACAGGCTCAGCCCGTAAGTAAAAGACAGCCCTCGCTGACCAGCAGGGAAGAGGGAGAGAGCGCAAGGGGAGAGACGACCTTACCCAGGAGGAGAGAGAGGAAGGGAAGAGCAGGGTGGGGGTGAGAGGCCACGGAGCGGGACTCAGAGGGAAGCCACACATGTTCTGTTCTTCCAGGACTGGCAAGTCCCCAAGAAAGCACAAAAATGGTTCCAGACAAAGACGGTGACACTTTGGTCACGTCTGCCACAAGGCTTGACGGCCGACTTCCTTACTCAAGGTCAAGGGATCCACCTGCAGAGAGTGCAGCTCCTTGGGAAATCGGGAAGTGCATCAGGAAAGACGACTCCGAGGGAGGGAGCAACGGAATTCAGCTGAGCAGGCCCAGCAGCCAGGCAGGCCCGGCCCTGCCGGAGGAAAGAGGAGCAGGCCTCTCACTTGTGACTCCTGCCGACCTTCAGGCCGAGTCGGAGAACTGAGGAACCGCCAGCCGCTCAGCTCATGATGTGAAAGGTCCCGCGGAGCCAGGCTCCAGGGACAGGGACTCCCCCTTGGCCCTCATCCCCTAGAAACCTGTGAGCAGGGACTGGTGAGCTCAGGGACGGACGCTGCACTGAAAGGCTCTCAGCAGGAAGTGTGCACGGCAAAGGCAGTTCCCAGGCCCAGCGCAGAGCCTGTCCATGCATGGGACTCGGGGTGCAGGGGACTCCCTCCTGGGACATGAAGCACAGCCCCAGCGACGGGGAACGCTGGCCCAGGTGGCCACGGCAGCGAGTGGGTGGGCGAGAGGAGCCGGGTCCCCGAGTAGGACGAGGTGTGCAGATGCCCTCGGGGGGTAGAGTGGGTGGGGGGCACGGGGAGCCTGAGGGTTCTCACCCCAGGGGTGGACTGTGGTCAGACCCTAAGGTGGTGACCCCAGAGGAGGCTGGAGACCACGGCTGCAGGCTCACCAGTGCCACACTGTGGCAGTCCCTGGGTGATGGCCGCGAGTGACGGCGCCCCCCACTTGTCCCCTGCTGCAGAAGGCGCCCTGTGAGTGAGCAGGACGCGCTGTCTCCCAAGGGTGGCCGAGGTCCCTCCTTCTGTTGACTCCAGCCCTGTCTCTGCAGTCACAGGAGCCGTCCCCTCCACAGCCTGGTGACCTCCCGCCTCCCCTGCGTCTGCGCTGGCCTCAGGCTGCCCTCAGGGTGTGGGGCTCCCGTGGGCACTGAGGGCCCTGCTCTACTGCCCACTCACTCTCCCCCACGACGGAGCAGGGACAAGGTGGGGAAGGAAGTCACGCTGAAGTGACATGCTCCTGGAAACCAGTGTCTACGAGGAGTGGGTGGAGGGGGTGAAGGGACAGACTCAGTCACGGCAAACACCGCGAGGCCTTGTGAGTGCCCAGGGAGCCGATGGGTAACGTGCACCTAGCCGTGGGGACTCTGCCTGGGATGACGCTCACGTCCCCCTCTGACCCACCGTCTGGTCATAGAGCGGCAAACAGAAAGGGTCTAGGGATCAGTGGGCGGACCCCTCATTTCCACACTGATGACCAGGGCCCGGGAGAGCCAAGTGGTCATGCCACAGAGAGCTCTCAGCTGTGCACTGTCCAACCCTTCCCCTGACTCTTGTAGGAATGTGGCACTGACCTGAGGCTCACGGTCAGGGAACTGGTACAGTCTCCCAACCAGCAAGTCCTGCACAAGGGGACTTGCCCCGGTCAGCCTGACTCCAAAGCCCCATTCTCTGTGATTCTGTAAAGGGGAGGAGAGAGGCCCCGGGCCCGACAGACCAGTGGGTCTGCACTGGGACCCAATCTCAGCCGGTGGGAGGCTTCCTCTCACTTTTCCACGTCCCCTAAAGAGGCCCGAGCTGCTTCTTTTAGCTTCTGGTCACTGGCTGGCCACCTCTTGCCCATGCTGTTCCTAGAACCGGTCACTACGTCGGGGCCTCGCCCTCAGTGGTGCGGATTCCCAGACGCTCAGCCTCTGCCGCCGTTTGGCAGAACTCACATATAGAAAGCCATTTCCTTTTTTAGCCACTAAGTGCTCTGGGCTGCGGGGTGTCTCCTGCTGGTTCCCGGCTGGCCACACAGAGGGCTGTGTTCCCCTGATGTCACATCATGACCAGGGCCACAGAAACAGCCACCCTCCGATGACAGGACTCGCGGTCCCTGAGAAATGGCGGGACCGCTGCCCGGCGGGCCTCCCTTTCCAGCCGAGGGGCCTTAGCCAGTCATTTCAGTCCAGGTGTCCAGCTTGTCTGCACAGTGGAAAGGCCAACTCAGGGACAAAGGGGAGGTGACTGGGAAGCCCGAGGACAGTACTGGCCTGCAGAAAGCACGAGGTCATGCTGGGGCCCTGGTTTCCTCTCTGACTCGGCCAGTGAGGACTCCCAACATGGCACAGGAGCCACTCTGCCGAGTGTGTGGGGCCGCAGGCTGGTTGAGGCTCAGTGCTGGGAGGGGCCAATCAGGGCAGGGACACTCCTTCCTCTGTCCACTTCCCTGCTGCAGAGGAGGTCAGAGCCGTGCACCTGCCCAGAGCGGTCCCTCTCGCTCCTGTGACAGGCCCCACCTGTCCCCTCACGTGGCTGTGACCCAGCCCCCAGAGGCTGCGCACTTCTGAGTCTGACCACCAGCAGGACGTCCACCAGAGGGGGAAGTGGAGGAGGGTGTCCCCCCGTCCTGACCCTCGTCATCTCTGACCTCTCTAGAAGTCCCGAACCCTGACGTCTCCAGGTGGCAGTCGGGATCTGGAAGTCCCCTGTGAACCCGTGGAGTCACCATTTCATGGGAGGCTCTTGTTGGCTCCAGCTGCCTCTTGGTGACTTTAGACAGGAGACACCCCTCCCTGACCCCAGTGCGCTCCTGCGGGGAGCAGAGCTGGGGGCCGGCGTGGTGGCCGGAGACGGTGGAGCTCTAGAGAATGGGGAGTGGGAGACTCGCGAACTACCGTGGGATAGTGTCAAGTCAGTGCAAAGCCCAGGCCAATCCAGACTTCCTGCCTCCACCTTGGAGGTCAGCAAACGGAGTCCCAGAAAAGAGTCTGCCGTTAAAAACCCCGTGGTCTCAGCATCCTGTGCTGTGGCTCAGCTCCACTAAAGAAATGCCTTGCAACAAGTAAGAAGCAATTCAAAAAGGCCTGGGCTGAGGACCGGTGACCGGGCTTCTACTTAGAATTCTGCTGTTAGTTGAGCACCTACGCCGTGTCAGCCACTAAAAATACCAGGCCGGGGTGCCGCTCAGAGGCAGAGTGCTGGCCTGCCATGTGCACTGGCCCTGGTTCAGTCCCCGGCACTGAAAAAAATCACTTCACCTTCACTAACATGACAGGAAGATTTCATTAAGCTCTTTACCATATGGGAAAACTGAGGATCAAAGACAGAACACGGTTCGCCCCAGTCATGCAGCCAACCTCTCGGCCCTTCCCTCTTCTCTGCTCCTGAGTCGGGTACACCCTAAGGGCCCCGTGCTCTGCCTGTACCTCCAGATTCCCCTCCCGGGTGACGGTGACTAGATGGCTGGATCTTTCTTGCCCATTGTTGGCCAATATGTCAAAAACGATTATTCACAAAGCAGCACCAAACTGTCACCCCCAGGGGGGCACCTTCCAGGGTACCAAGGAGGTCAGCCTCTTTTATGGGAACCCGAAAAAGAAAATGGCCGTCTCCCGCTTTGTTCCCTCGACCTGAAGCCAGGGTGGCCGACGAGGGCTGCTTCATGCAGAAAGCCACTGGGTCCCCTGAGGGTGAGTGAGCTGCTCCCTGGGCCAGAGGCAGAGCCCGGCCCTGG